TTTCTTTTTTCTTTTTTTTTTTTTCTCTTGCTTCCACAATCTCTTTTTCCCCCGCTTCCTCCTGGCCGTTGCTTCCTGTTCTTCGCCGTATATAAAAGCCCGGTGCCACCAACTCGTTTCCCCCCTCCCTCCCCTGCCAGGCTCGGCGAGGACCCAGGTGAGCGTCTGGTGGGGCGACCGATGGGCGAGATTTTCTCCTTTCACCTAAAACGAAATAACCCAACGCCGAGGGAAGGGAAAAGCCGGGTTTTGGGTGATGTCCGTCCCGCTCGCGGGATGGATTTTTTCCCTGCTGAGGACGTGCGGTGTGAGGTTGTCGTTGCTCTTCTTTCCGCGTTGGGTGACGTTTGGAGACACCGTCATCTCTTTGCCCCTTCTTGCCGTGCTCCAGGTCGTTCAGCCGACCATCGGAGGTTCCCAAACCTTCTCCGTGGTTTCCTCTCCTTCCCCTTCAGGATTTCTCCCCTCCCTTCCTTGGTGATACTTTGAGCACCGAGAGCTTTCTCTTTTTTTTTTTTTTTTTCCCCCCGGGGGGCTTGAGAACCAAACCAAAGTCATTCCCCGTTGCATCAACTCGGTGGATGCTGGAAAAGCTGCCGGAGCTGCAGCTCGCCCCGTGTTTCCTCATCCAACCTCTTGCACCACACGGTTGAGGACAGCTGGGTGAGGAAGTGGGGAAATGCCTATTTCCTCGGTGGCCAGATGGCAGGGAGGAGGGGGACCGTGAAGCCGAGCGGTTTGGGGTGCTTGCATCATACGTTCCTGTTGAGGAACATCTCACCGAGCTTGTCTTGGAGGTGCTGCCCTCTTTGCCCCCGGGGTTGGGGGAGAGGCCCTTTGGATGGAGAGAGAGAGAGATGATGACGATGATGACGGACATGAGGAGGAGATGTTTTACGCTGAGGGTGGTGAGATGCTGGAACGGGTTGCCCGGAGAAGTTGTGGGATGCCCCGTTTTCAAGGTCAGGTTGGACAGGGCTTGGAACAACCTGATCTCGTGGAAGATGTCCTTGCCCGAGGTAGGGAGTTGGGCTGCCATGGTCTTTGAAGGTACCTTCAACCCAAACCATTTTGTGATGCTATGGGCCAGGGCTTTGGGCAACTTGATCTAGCAGAAGATGTCCCTGCCCACGGCAACGGGGGTGGAACTAGATGATCTTTGAAGGTCCCTTCAACCTCAAAGTGTTCTGTGATGGTCTAACGGGGTGTGGTTTCTAGGTTGGGAGTTGGTAGACGATGGACTTCTCAACGCCCAGTTATAACTTCAATTACCCCAGCTGGGGCGACGATTCCATATATGATCTCGATGGCTACGAAGTCCCTCACAGCTACCGCTTCATCCTGGCGCTCTACGCCCTCATCTTCCTCCTGGGCGTCTTGGGCAACGGGGCCGTCATCTGGGTGACCGGCTTTGAGCTGCGGCGCACGGTGAACGGCATCTGGTTCCTCAACCTCTCCGTGGCTGACCTCCTCTGTTGCCTAGCCCTGCCCTTCCTGGCCCTGCCGCTGGCCCGTGACCACCATTGGCCGTTGGGTCACTTCGCCTGCAAGCTGCTGCCTTCCCTCACCATCCTCAACATGTTCGCCAGTGTCCTCCTCCTGATGGCCATCAGCATAGATCGTTGCGCCATGGTCATGCGACCGGTGTGGTGCCAAAACCACCGGACGCTGGGGCTGGCCCGGGGGGCTTGCGTGGCCGCCTGGTTCCTGGCTGGGCTCCTCACCCTTCCCTCCTTCATCTTCCGCACCACCCGTTCCGACATCTTCTCTGAGAAGACGACCTGTGTCCTGGACTACGTGGCCGTGGGACACCACCAACGTCTCACCGAGCTCATCACGGCTGTCACACGCTTCGTCTGCGGCTTCCTGGTGCCCTTTGTGGTGATCACGGCTTGCTACAGCCTGCTGTTGACCCGCATCCACAGCAAGGGCTTCTCCCGCTCCCAGAAAGCTGTCAAGCTCATCTTGGTGGTCATCACCAGCTTCTTTGTGTGCTGGCTGCCCTACCACATCGTGGGGTTGATCCTGGCTTCCACCCATCCTCGCAGCAGGTTGTTTAAGGACGCCCTGGAAGCTGACCCCATCGTGGCCGGCATTGCTTACATCAACAGCTGCATCAACCCCATCATCTACGTCATCATGGGACAGGACTTCAAGGACAAGTTCCAGCGTTCCTGGAGAGCCGTGTTGCGGGGCGTGCTGAGTGATGATCCCACCACCAGCACCATGGGGGACAGCAGGATGAAGACCAAGTCCACCATGGATGACCGTAGCGTCAGCACCACAGTGTGACCAGGAGCGAGGTGGCTCCAGGGCTGGAACCTCCCTTGTGTTGCTTGAGGTCACCACCTTCTCCTCTCTTGGGGATCCCGCTGGGCCCCGTAGAGAGAAGATGCCTCCATCACCCCCTTTCCCCACGTGGTTGCGGGCTTGGGAAGCTGTGTGCCCGCCTGCCCCTGGGGACCTCCTCCTGCCTTCCTCCATGGCCTGCCAGGGGCGAGAGGACGTTGTCCTTCCACGCAATACCGTGTTTTGCTTCTCCAGCCCAAGCATGGACTCTATTTCCAGCTCCTCCCCACTCTCGCCTGCCCCACGTCTCCACCACCCAGCCCCACGTCTCCACCACCCAGCAAGGTCCAAGATGTGGGTCAGCCCACCTGCAGGCCAAACCCCCCTCCATCACCCCAAAACCTCAACTCCACCCCACTGATGGGGGGCTGGTGACTGCCCTTCACGGTCACCCTGCCTTCACCGTAGCCGTGTCCACCGCTGCCAATAAATATTGAAGTTCCTCAAGCCTTGAGCAAGACGTCTGTCCCATGCTTCTCCTTTTTGGTTGTTTATTGGGCAAGATTTTTGATGTCTCGGCAGATTTTGAGCTTGCGGGTGACGCAATAATTCCTGCAGCGTGTCCTCCCTGGCCCCAGAAAGTCTTTGCGGTGGATGGTGAACTCTTCCCCGTGGTCTTGCTTCATCTCACGGGGCGGTGGAGGGTGGTGGCTGAAGTTGATCTGATTTATACCGCCCTGGTGCTGACCATCCTAGGGGACAGTGGAGATGGTTGGGGACAGTTGGGCACCATGGGGATGGTGGGAATGTTGGGGCACAACGGGGACTGTTGGGGACAGTTGGGCACCGTGGGGATGGTTGGGGAAGGTGGGAACATCGGTTGGGAACGTTGGGTCACCACAGAGATGGGCACAGCAGGGACAGCCGGGGACAGCTGGGTACGATGGGGACAGTGGGGTGCCACAGAGATGGTTGGGGACATTTGGGTGCGGCAGGGGTGCTCGGGGACAGCGGGGATGGTTGGGGATGGTGGGGCACAAGAGGGATGGTTGGGGACATGGGGGCACCTTGGGGATGGTTGGGGATGGTGGGGCACCATGGGGACAACTGGGGACAGGGGGGACAGGGGGGCACCACGGGGAT